AAATATAGAGCTTTAGAAATATGAAATATGGAGCTTTAGAAATATTAAATATAGAAATACTAAATGCAGAGCTGTAGAAATATGAAATATAGAGCTTTAGAAATATGAAATATGGAGCTTTAGAAATATTAAATATAGAAATACTAAATGCAGAGCTGTAGAAATATGAAATATAGAGCTTTAGAAATATGAAATATGGAGCTTTAGATATATGAAATATAGAAATACTAAATATAGAGCTTCAGAAATATTAAATATAGGAATACTAAATATAGAGCTTTAGAAATATGAAATATGGAGCTTTAGAAATATTAAATATAGAAATACTAAATACAGAGCTTCAGAAATATGAAATATAGGAATACTAAATACAGACATTTAGAAATATTAAATATAGACCTTCAGAAATATTAAATACAGACCTTTCAATTTAATATTTGAAATTGCCATCCCGAAATTTATCATTCAACACTCAGTTCAGAAATGTATCCTTTTATTCTCGTTAACATTCGGGAAAAAATTCACTTAGGGGTGAATCTCGAGTGAACGACGAAATTCTCCAACGTGTATCGAATTCGAGAATAGCTTGATAAATTTCTCAGTTATTCCTCGACAATTCCTACATTTCACACTTTCTCCATGGTGAAACGAATTTTTCCAAATTCGATATACGCTCTCTACGGATAATCGTATTTTATTTCGAAATTCTATATTCCAACTAACATTCATTTCGTGCTGTATCTTTCACGTGAAGTAGACGCATCGCTGCGAATTAATTTCATTCATACGGTCGGTGAAAGCTTTCAATTTCTTTAAAAATTTTTGCAATCTCGTGCACGTATAACGCGGAACGACGAACCGTATCGTTTTTAATTTCGACATGGAGCACACTGGCCAATATCGAGACGGAATAAACAGAAAGAAGTTCGCAAAAATATTTCGCCGTCGATTTCTCAGCTTTCTTAGTTCGAATACGAAACTCTCAGCATGCTTGTCAATTCTACTTCATTTACCTCTGATTCGTCCTTTTTTCCCACATTTTAGCACAGCAAACTTGTATCGAAACAATTTTCCAAGAATTTTTTACATTTCCAATTCGTCCAGTTGTGCACAATTTTGATAAACAGTATTCGTCCTGTTTTTCACAGTTATAAAAGTAATAATAAATTATGTTGCTACTGGTAATTACGTTCAACTCCAATTATGAATAATATTCCGCACAGACAACGAATTAATTTCAAAAATTTCAAATAAATACAGGAATAACGATATTTTTAAAATAAATATAATACTTCCATTCGTAAACAAAATAACACGAACAGAATATAGAGAAACTATCTTTTATCAAATAAGAAATTAAATTGAATCACAATAATATCGTCTTAGAAACGACAATTAAACGGATTAGTAGCGCTTCTTCACAATTTTCTCGAGCTCGAAGCATCGTCGTTCTTACGTCGCGATAGGAATCGCCGATTATTATTTGCTCTCGCGAAGATTCACGCGTCGTTGAGCTTTTTCTGTCGGAGAGGAAACGGACAGAAGGGAGGAATTTGCACGTAAATCAAAACGTTTCGTTTGCGCTCTGTTTGCTGCGAGCAGTTAGAATCAATGCTGTCCGCCTTGTTGAAATCGCTGTCATGTCAACGAGGCCGGCCGCGCTCGTTGATAATTCGATCGACGATCTAGTTTGAAGAAACGGAGTTCGCGGGAACGCCATTCACCCCGTAACCGAATCACGCGGCTCGCTGATCTCATTCGAACCCGGCGATTCTTACTTTCGTTCGCGTCAAGGAGAAGCGATATGACGTTTTTGTTGAGAATCAGAGCACTAGCGTTGAAAACAACGCCGCTATCGAGTGCTCGCTACGGAAATATCGCGACGTTCAAGATTACTTTTGCCGGTGCAAAAGATTTCGAGCTCGACGTCGGAAGCGTAAGCTGAGCACAGACACGATCTTGACATCAGAGGACCGTGTAAAAAATTGCCATAAATTATTCGAGAGAGCACGCAAGCCTGGTGTGTCTGAAAAGGAAAGGGAAAATTTTGAGATTTTTCTTTGTCGGTAACTACTGTATGAGAAGTTTCGATTTTACGATATTTTTACTTTGTAAAAATTAGAGAAAGAAGCTGAAAGTTGCGTTTATATACTCTGAAAAAATTGGAATTTTTCATTTGCTAGTTAGCTGTGAAAAAAATTCCCCAATTTTACCTACTTTTAGACGCCTCGGTGAGTACCCCAATGTGAAAGAGTGGCTTAATAGTAATGGCTTAAAATTCGTATTTGAAGAAAAAAAAGGTTGCTGTTCTATTCCTTCGAAAGAGAAAAGAAAATGGAAGACGTTGGGTAAAAGGCGACAGTGTGAGAGATATTACTGTATTGGACAATTTTATTTGTCAGAAGAAACGAGTGAAAGTGTGGATAAAAATTGAATTAGATATGAGAAGAATTGTTTTCAGAAAATTAACGTATGTATGACAAAAGATTGCAAGTTGAAGGAAATTGACAGTAAGATTTGATAATTTTACGTAAACATAGTGGTTTAAACGTTTCGCATATAAATTGCACGCACATCTCTGAATATGATATAGGATGAATTGGAATTAGAGTAGCCTAAAGGAACACAGCGAGGGAACTTTTGTCTCGCGATTGCTTAATTGTTACCACGAACCGCAATTACCGGCAATTTCCATACATTTCGTTGCAACGTGAGTAACAGCCGGCTAATTATGGTAACGCGCACAATTACTCCTACGTAATCTGACCGCGTTAATTGCCATTTTTCGCGACTCTTAATTCCTTAACACGCACGGGCGGAAAATCTGCATATCGAAAATTACAATGTTAATTTATTAAAATTCTTTCAAATCGATTTCAAATAGAATCAGATGAAAAGTCGACAAGTTCTCTTTTTCTCACCTATGAAATTTTAACGTTAAAGAAATTGCTGAATTCTTTCTGAAAGAGAATTATTCTACGGCATAAAAACTTAATTCTTAAATTTGCGAAAATTGCCAGAAATTCATTCGCAAACTCATTCACAATTATGACTTGAAAGGTGAATTATTATACAGAACATTTAAATCACTGCGCTACATTTAAAGATACAATGAAACAAATTTGAGTAACATTTAAATCGTTTCTAAAAAATACCTCCGTCTTCTCCTCAATACTTTCAACCTTGCCTTTACGCCTTCAAATCGTCATCGGTTAGTTCGATACTCGCGTATTAAATATTTTCTATTCACCTGTCCGCGACATCAAAGAAATATCAGCCGGCCGCGTCGACGGACCGCTCGGCGAAATTTATCGGTGAAAAGTTCGTTTTTAAAACTTACCAGGTTCCTGCCGCGCGACAAGAGACGCGAAATCCAATCGAAAAGGGAAACAAACAGGACAAAAGGCGAGCGCCAATAAAGGTATGAATAATAGACGAGATGGTCGACGACGAGATCTCGCAGTTTTTCAAGCCGGCACCGCCGCGCAGTGATATGGGTCAGTGTTTGCTACGACGCGGCGTTATTTCGAGGGACAAGTTGAGAGAGAGAATATAAATTTTTCGGGGCTCGTTCCAACCAACAGAGAGGCGGGGCGTGTCTACAGTGGGTGACTGTGGGCATAAATAATTACAGTGGTTTCGGGCGTGTGCACGAACGCGTTGCTGGCTCTGCCGGGGGAAAGCACGACGTCGGGAAAACATTTTTCTCGTTTAGACTCTTCTACCTTGGGCTCAACCTGCACTCTATCATCGCTCTTCTCCTCGATAGTGATATTAACGGTGGGGAAATACAGCGAAGGTACTTACTTAGGTGATGGGTTTACTATTTTCACCTTTAAAAAAATGGAAAATTTTCAGGTAGATGTTTTACTCATTTAAGTCGAGGTGCTGTTGTTCTTTTATTTTTTGTGATAAGACTGTTCGAACTCTGGTAATGATTTATTTAATACATGCTTACAATGGTAAAAGTTAGGAAAAAATTAAAGGGAGTTCGTATCAAGTTTGAATTTTTCTTATCTTCAAATTTGTCGAGGAAACTTCAGTAGTCTGAGGCTTTCAAACAATACAGACAGAAAATAATCCGGGTAGAATTAAAGTTTCACTTCTTACTGTAATAGAATCTAATTGAACTTCAGTTTCAGAGAGACGAGAATTAATTGCAGAAAATTACATGGGTCGATAGGAGCGATCTCTATATTATCAAAATTCAAATTTTCAAATCTAGAAAAATCAGAATTTTCCTATTCAAAAAGAATCCTTGATACACTAAACATGTATCACAAAGTACAGTAATTAACAAATTTTGATAACTGAGCTTTCATTCAATAATTGACGAAACGACAAATTAAAAAAAAAATAGTAAACCAATATTACCTATATTATCATAATTCCACAAACTACTAACATACCCATCTTCCACCCAATTCAACGATCAACCATCACGAATAAAGTAGATCTGTTCGCCGCGCAACTTGATCCCACCACCCGAAAAAATCCGAATCACTTAAGCAGTGTAAAAGATTCCGTCCGAGGATATCAGTCCTCGTCATAAAGATTATTGCTCCTGAATCTGGTCGAACGTTTCCCAGAATCGTTCGCGAGATATATCGCGTCGAAGCGACACTGTACACAGCGCCAGTCGCCAGATCTTTATCGCGAGGCGTCCGAGAGCGTCGCGACGCCGCGTCGGCCGAACCACATGGAAACTGTGGTCGCCGTAGATAAGAGAGCACGCTGGAATTTCCTCGACGATTCACACGACCATGTGAAATTGGAAAGGAGAAGAGAGAAGGAAGGCGTCGCGACGCTCACAACACTCTCCCTCGTATCCGTTTTCTGTCTTTCCGCGTTCCCCGTGAATCGAGTTCCTCCTCCCGTTCACGCCTCCCTTTCATCGTGCTCTCTCTCTCACCTACCCGCCCCCTCTTGCTCCAACACGATTTTCCGAGAACGCTTTCTTCGACACTCGAACCGAATGGAACTGTCACCTCGTTTTTCAGGTGGACGTCACCGAGCTGTGTCCGTCGGCCACGGTCCTGGCACAGCAATTGACCCACGTGGAACTCGAGAGGCTCTCGTACATCGGCCCCGAAGAATTCGTCCAAGCCTTCGCCAAGGTTTGTACACGTGGTTTTTTTTCTCCTCTTTTTCTCCCTGGTTGTAGGACAGTGTGTGACGAAAGCTTCGGGACTTGGATTGCACAAATGTTTGGGTTTGGTTTTTGTGACAGTTTTTTATTTTTGATTTGTTGGGCAAGTGACGTCACTTAACAGGATTGATAATTTACGAAGGTATCGTACTTTTATTTTTACCTTATCTTCCATGCTACCATAGCAGTCAGGAGTCAGATTGCAAAGATTTTTCACTTACGATTTAGTGACATTTGTTTTTTAATTTCTGATGTGTTAGATAATTGACGTCGCTTAACAGGATTACCAATTTATCAAGCTATTGTGCTTTCCTTCTTTTGCATTCTGCTATAATACATTTTTAAGAGTCCAGGAATTTTTGTTACATACTGTAATATTTTCTTTCTTTCTCTTACATTGTAACCCATTGTTTAATGGTTTCGAATGCAAATAAATGATTATTTTGTTCATTTAATGAGAGCAAAAGTATGTTTCAAATTAACAATGAATTCTTGAAGTTTCTATATTCCTTGCATTCTTTAAATTAGACAAATTAATTTTTTACGCTTTCATGTGAAACTTTGTAGGTGAAACGTCGCAGAAAGAAAACTTTTTACATTTATTTTGCAATGTATTCTTTGGTTCGTTTAATCGAAGCAGAGCCTAAGTCGTAATTTCGATGAAATATTTAGAAAATTCATAGGAGAATGGTTTTTAAACTAAATGTCGTGTGTTATACAAACAGGAATCTCCTCATTTGGAAACATCTTTCAAGGACATGAAGAAAACGCGCAATCTCGAATCGTACGTCCAATGGTTTAACAGACTGAGCTATTTCGTTGCGACAGAAGTGTGCAAGGTAAATCACTCGTGGCTATGTTATTCAATCTTACGAATATTTCTCCACTTCGTCGTAATAAACGTAAAACTCTGGACGTTGAAGAATAAAATTTTGTATTCTTCAATTTTGCAATCAGTCGATCAAAAGTTCAACGCAGCATTTACACGAAGATAGATTTTATCGTTTGATAGATAGATTTGATTTCACAATACTCTACGATATCAGGTAAACTAAAAAAAAAACAAACGTTTATTCGTTGTTTTGTAGCACGCGAAAAAGAAACAACGCGTTCGTGTGGTTGAATATTGGATTGAAACAGCACGCGAATGCTTCAATATCGGCAATTTCAACTCTCTGATGGCGATCATCGCTGGTCTGAATATGTCACCGATATCTCGCTTGAAGAAAACGGTAAGTTACGATTCAATTTATTTCAATTAACTGCACACCGACAGATTGGGTGCAGAGGAAACGTCGGACTGTGTGTGCTCTTTAAAAAAGAGAAAAATACAGGACAAATATTACATTTATATTCACCACTGTGTATCGAGTCAAATAATTTTCAGCAATTTCGTAGTAATTATATCACAGAAATTTCTAGATTTAATTAGATATCTAAATCCAAACTTTAACTAGTACCAAATTGAATTATCACAGTCTACATGATTATTCAAACAGAAATTAATCGTTGCTGATTTTGAAAGTGATCTAATTGCAAGTCACTCAACATGAGATTCTCGTTATTCCAAAATTGAAATTCAATTATCCCACTCAGATTTTAATACAATACAAAATTCACCAAATCCTGTCTCATAAATTGCGACAAACCGAAACAAACATAGGCGAACAATTTCCTAGTAAAACGATAGATCACATAATGATCTGTTCTCTCATAAAACTAAATCGTCAAGATCTACACTGGCCACTTTCTTAATAACTGTAAGAAACCTGAAAGAAAAAAAAAGAAACGAGCCGATCGATCACACGGCATAAAAGTTCCTTAACAAACAAAATGATCGACTGCATTGCCTTAGACAAGAAAAGGAAAAGAAAACAAAACCAAGTTGGAGCTAAAATGATCGATGAACGCTACAGAAGACACTTTTACGACAGTTCCCTTCCTGTTTTGTTCTCCGTGTAAGTGACGACAACGACGACGTCCAGTCGGAGAAGCGTTGATGGCACGTTGAATTGGATCCACGCTCGTTTGCACCAACGTGCAGGATGTGCACGCGGCAATAAGCGGTCTGTAATCCTCGTAAATCGAGCGTGGCGCCGCGACGACCAGCGTTAACCGTGACGAATCGCTGGGAATCGAATTTTCGCGTCGCTGAACGACGATCCGAGGCTCTCTCTCTCGAAAAAACGTAGAACCGGAGAGAGAGAGAGAGAGAGAGAAGATCGTCCGACGAAAAGAACGCGCGAGCAAATCGAACGGGGACGACGGAGCTGTTTTAATTGAATTTTTGCGTCACCGTGTTGCGTCATCGAGTCCGATTGAAATGTACATGGGCATCGAGTTAATTAGAAATCACGGAGAACTGTGATTTTCATTTCGACCAGCCGCTTCTTTTCCAGCTGAAAGCTCGTGTTTTCGCCTGATCCTAGCTTTCGATCGTCAGATGTTTAGTAATGGAAAAAGTTTACCGACATGGTCGATATTTTACTGTTTTGTTTTAATTATTTGGGAAAAATTAGAATTGAGTTTTTAAGGGTTATCTTTTTTGTCGTTTATCGCGTTTTCTGTTTAAACTGCACACTATTCTTATTAGCGAGTTTTCTCTGTGTTAATTGCGTTGAATGAAATTTAATTGGAACTGAAATTCCTCGGAGCGTTTGTTATGGGGAAGTCTGTCGATTACACTCCAACGCCGATTTCTGTGTAAACTTTTATTCTGAATCGCGTTTACTTCTTATAAATCACGTTTCGTTTAAAGGTCCTTGGAGGTTGCGTTGTTGTGCATTGTAATTTATTAGATCGAGCTGAAGAGAGAGAGGAATATATTTAGTTTAATTTCTATTTGAACTCCTACTTTGGACATTTAATTTCTATTTCAATTCCTACTTTGGAAATTTCATTTCTATTTTCAGATAGGAATTCAATAGGAATTAAAATTCTATTCTTTCCTCTAAAATGGGAATGAAAATTCTTATCTTCAGTTTTATAAATTTCTGAAATGGGAATTAAAGCAAAACTGAGAATCTGGAAATTTAATTTCTAAAATACGAAGAAACTGCGACACTTCGCCAACGAATTTCCAAATATCGACACCATCGCCGCAGCCCAATTCAGCGAAACGCGAGTTGGCTGAAAATCGCGAGGCATTTCCCGCAGAAAATCGCGACGGTGAAGGGGAAACAAAACGGCGAAGCAGCGCGGATGATCCGCAAAAAGGTGGTACATATACAAGTTTCAATCAAAGACAAACGGAATTCGCGCAGAGTTGACGAAAACAAAGAATCCCCAGTGTTAAACGAAAAGTGCCTGTAACGTGAATTTATCGAGAAACGAAAAAGAGACGAGGACATTGCGCGTTCCGATCTGTGACGTTGGCGAAATAATCGAATCCGCTCGACGCTTGCAACGATTGCATTTCCACTGGAAAGAATAAAATAAAAAAAGAGAGAGAGAGAGAGGGGAAAAAGAAAAACGGGGAGAGAAAACAAGAAAACAGAAAAAAAATGAAAAACGAATTCAATACGTATCGCGCGACTTCCTGTCAGTCTCTCGCGATATTGCTTCCTGAAACGAGGACGTCTTCATGCGCTGTCCTGCTCTCTTCTTTCCCAATGAAATTCCGCTCGAAATGAAAGGAGTGCGCTCCCGAAAGAAAATATAATAGACTGTTCGATCAGTTAGACGTGTATTTATCAGACGATTATTTGAACGAATTCTCTTCGAGTATGAAAGAAGAAGAAAAAAAAGAAGGATAAATTCGTTTTGAAAAGATGAAGGGATGGGATTGAATGGTTTTATAGTTTTATAGCCCGGCCGTTTGAACGGCTGAAAAGAAAGCTACCAATGTGACAGTTTCAATGTAAACGGTGAAAAAATTCCAGACAATTCGTGAATTATTTCTTTGTAGGTTTAATTGCGCTCTTTGTCTGTTTAAGGGTAATTGAAACCTGTAATGTAACGTTATATTAATTTCTTCGGGAAATTCACTGGAAGATTGCCTCTTGAAATATTCTGCGGGATTCTGTGGAAATTCGGAAAAAATTTCATTATTACGTACTACTTTGTACTTAAAAATTTGATGTTTTAGGGTGAATTTTAATTAATTACTTATTTAGAATTATTCATTTATTAGAAAGGCGTGCTTAGCGAGTGCATTACTTTTATTTTAGATAACAGGAAATTTCGAATACAGTAGAGACAGCTTTTTCGCTCTACATCGTTTAATAATGTTTCTTCGTCCTGAATAATCGATACTTAAAGTGTGCCAAGATTGTAGAAACAGTTTTACCTTTTCCGTGAATTAACAATTGCATTCTACAGAAATACCTGCTTTTCCCCGATACATCTGTCTCGATAAGAGACGAACAACGCTGCCGATAATGTTTGTAAGAAACTAAGAAGATCTAGAGTAGAAGTGGTTTGTAATCGATACATACGCTACAACACGATTATCTCCGATATATTCTCGTCGGACTTTTACAAAATTCATCGATGCTCCGTGACATTTTATGGACGTGCGACTCGCTGCAGCGGCAATTCTCGGGGAACGGAACGGGAATAACACAAAGAAAAGTAAAAATAACTGCACAGGCTCGTAACAAAGGTATTAACAGTGATTCCGGCGATACCGTATCGACGATCCGATTTAAATGGAAATATTTGCCCGGCGATCAAGCCACGATTTTCATTCGCCAATTGGATTAAAACGGGTGGACGTTGCGCAAGAATGAAAACAGTGTGGCCATTATGATAAATAAAAATTACATTTTTCCTCCTCTTAAATTCACCAGCCCGGATTTCGCGTCGCACGGTCCGTATATAAAAACGTTCATAAATATCCTGGCCCTACCGCGCGTCCTTTTGCAATAAAAAGCTCGCGGTGAATGTATATCAACCGTAAATGAATTTACGCGCCGTCCGGACGTAATTAACATGTTAAGTTATGATTACTTAGTTGTCGCGAAACTTGTACTTCCGTTGGTGTTTGAGGAATAAAGAGAAAAAGAAACGAGGAACAAGAGCATTAGGGAAGTAATTAACGCGAACGTGAAACCTGAGGATTAATAGTTCAGCTGAACAGGAAAGTAGTGTTAACCCTTTCGTCGCGACATTGTGTACTGAACGAAATAGGTATTGTTTAACGTTAGTATGACACTAAAGATACGTACGATTGAAAATTAAGTATTTCGTGATAGTTAAATGTCTGGTTCGTTCTTTAGTGTTGCCTGATTTTCAGTTGATAGCGATATTTTATTTGAGAAATGAGAAAATAAATTAACAAGTTGTATGTGTTAGATGGGCGTATGTGTACGCTCTTCTTAAATAAGAGACAACCTTTGCAGAGCGTATACATACGCCTTTCGTAGCGAAAGGATTAATTGTGGAAGATTAGAGTGTCTTAAAATAATGAATAATAAAATATTGTTGGTCAAGTGAATGCAGAAGAATTTTAAGTATGCTCTAGAAAACGTATAATTTTGACTATTGAAATACTTATAGAAATCGTGCTAATTCGGTAGAATAAGCGAGTAAATGATGAAAAAAATTCTCATACGAACATAATAGTACCTAATCTTCATAATTATTTGCAAAAATAGTGTCACAACCTCGAAAGAAAGAAAAGAAAGAAACGATCCAAGGGAAATAAAATTATCCTACGCGAAGTAGCGATAATTTAAATCGTATGATCGATCCGGAACGTCGCTATTGTACAACGGGCAGCACTTAAAGGACTAAAGGACGCGACAGTTTCTGACGAATCGGCGAGCGTGTACGACTTTATCGCCTGGCCGGACAAATTGCGAGGCGGAACGAGGAAACCATTAAACGTTTTTTCTCGTTTTTAATTACGAGACCGAGCCGGTGTTTTCCGCGGACATATCCCTCCCGGCTCTATTCGACGCCGGACTGCTATTCAGGGTTCATTTGGTTCGGCCAGCTGATTTATACAGGCCACGCTTAAAATAATTGCTAGAACTATCAGCGGCCAGCCGGCGTGGCTCGCTTCGTAATTTTCGCTAATGAAAATTTAACGCTTCTGTTCGGTCACGCTCGCGCGTTGTTTTCCCCTCCCTCTCCATTCTATAACGACCCTCCCCAATTTTCACCTCTAGCCACCCCGGAAATCGCGGTACACTCGTGAAAACATCGGCGGATTTTTCGCCAATCGTACGATTGGTTCTTCGTTTAGACGTGAGCTGGTTCGAAGCGAGCAACTTTGACCGCTCCAGCT